AATAAGTTTTCTATTTCTGAAGATTTGAAGATTTTTCTCTTTTTACATTTTTTTCTCCACTCTTCTATCACTAGAAGTATGAGCAGTATTCTTCTCAGTTTTCTCAGAATTTTGAGCAGATTTTGAGATAGCAGATTTAGAGACAGCAGGTTTAGAGATAGCAGATTCAGCTGCTTAAGCATATATTTTCTTCTAATTTAAAGAAGAATAAGAAGAGAAAGTAGAAAAGAAAGAAGAGCAAACTGAAGAGTCAGTAATTATATTAAGAATTTTCAAAGTTTTTTAAACTGTGTTTGAAATTCCAAGTTTGAACTTGATCACTTTCTGTAGTTGTCTAGTCTGAGTATGAAGAATTAACAGAACTTCTTCATTCATCTCACTCAGACACTGCTTTTCAAGAATTTTACTTACTTTTTCAAGTTTCTGTATTTCAAGAACTTGTTGTTTCTCTATTTCTTCTTTCTTTCTTCTCTTCAGAATTTCAATCTCAGAAATAGTATTTGAGAAAGCATCTTTTTCCATATCAACTGAGTGTACTTTTGAACTTATTGTTCTTACTCAATGAAAAGTTGATCAGACTAATTCAATTGAGATATTTATTAAACTCTTTTGAATTGAAAAGTTGGTCAGACTGTTTCAATTAAGAGGTTTCTAAGCCTGTTTTCAATTGAAAAGTTGATCAGACTATTTCAAAAGAAGACTAGCAGACTTTTGTATATAAATACCTGATTTTTTTCACACTAGTTCAGTAACTAGGTTAGATTTTTGAAGAGAATCTAATAAACTAAAATTGATTTTTAAGATAAATCAATAAAATCTTTACAATCTCTTTCTTGAGATACAGTGAGAAAAAGTATGATATTAATTGATAGTAAATCAGATAATATGACAGTTTTTGAGAGAAAAACTGACAAAAAAAAAATCAATTTTTTACAGAGAAATTGATTAAAACTATTCAATTTTATTTTAAATCATTCAATTCTTCTCACACAACAAGTATGCAACTTAAATCAGTTAATAAAGAGTGTAAAAAAGAATTAAGTATTAATGAAAGCTCTTCAGCCACTGAAAAAGTAATTCTTACTTAAAAGAATATGAAATTATGACAGAAAACAACTCTGTTTTTAATTCTTTGTAAGAATATTGTATAAAATTCAGAGAAAAACACCTTACTTTTTCAAGAGAAGTAAAAAACTATTTCTAAGATCTTTTTTTTTTTTGCATTAACTGCTGTAGAAGAATGAGATAGAAACTGCTAAGATATACACTACTATATACTCTCTATCAAGACTTTCCCTCTTCAGAGTCTTGATATTATAGAGAATATAAGTCTGTTTCTATATAATAATGTAAATATTGTCAGCAGGATGTAGAGGAACTGGTTATTTATATCTCAAAATAGAAGACTTTGTCAATGATTATATCAATATAGAGTTAATTCTTAAATTCAATAGAAATTTAGTGTTGCTGTTCTCAATTTCTTGCAGAATCTATTGAATATTGAGATATTAAAACTAGATTTAATATATCTCACTGTGCAGGGATCAAAGGCTCAGTCAGACCTTGGGGTATACTGATTTTATAGTTATTGATGTGCTGTTGACTCGTTGTCTGTTGATTATGTGCTTGATATTATCGCCGAGGTATCTTTTTGTATTTTTCTGCCGGGGATGGGCCAGATTGGGAAGGGCGGTACGAGGGTGGGACTTGGCGTTGGTGTTTTGGAACATCAAAGATGGACAGGGTTTTCGCGGAGGTCGCTTCTCAGATATCTCCACAACTACAGATCGGGGATCTTCCAAAATCGAGAAGATTGGTGCATACGGCTAGGTCTCTTCACCTTACAATTTGTATGGCAATTTGGCCCGGGGTTGTGGTGTGGTAGGGGAGAATGGGGGATAATCCCACGCAGGAGTTCCGAACGACGTCTGGTTCACGTTTGGCTGGATAACTCCACCACCACACGGGGTATGCGGTCGGCGATGGGGTCAAAATGCTCGTATGATCGAGGGCTTTTCGATGGATCTATCGGCGGGTTCTTATTCGAAAAATCGAGCGAGTTCGTGGTGGAGCGGTTGATAGCAGATTGGAGAATTTCTTATATTTACAAAGTATATATAATTCTTCATTAAGTCAGGCTTTTCACCTGATCTCAGGTTCATTATAGGTTCAATTAATCAATAAATTATCTAGACACACTTGTAATGATGTATGAAGATGTCAATTTAGCATATTATTGCAGTTATTCATTGCTTACAAAGAGCTTCATAACCTCTTAAAGAATAACATTGTTGTGTTGTATTGTAATCTAACTACGCGAGTTACACTAAATAGGTTGGGGTGGCACGTGACTAGAGTAGGTGTAGTAATCACCAACAGTAGCTACCTACTCGGTACATATTCTCTTTTGCCGCCAGAGAGAGGGGGGGGGTTGATCACCTGCATCAACATTCAATTCATCATCCCTATGTCTTCAACCTCTATGTATGTACATGTACAGAGTACATTACATGAACACAGTGAGTGCTGTTCAATGCTGTTCATGATTCTATCTATGACATTGCTTCCCTCCTCTAATCCGTAGTTACTTACTATTATGGAAGAAAAAGCCACCACTCACACACATCACAGGGCTAGAAAATGGCGTGCTCAGACAAATCACTGAACTTCTTGCTACACAGATACACAGAAAAACTAGCAGTAACTTTTATATTAGTAGTTACGCACAGCTCTGAAAATGTAAATCCTCATCACCAGCCTCCCTACTACACTAATAAGAAGTAAAGAGTCATATGTATATACTATACTGTCCATACACACATGAGTCCCTTCTTGCCCCTCTACCCCATAAATCTAGTGAGAGAGAAAAAAGATTTTAGTTCAATATCGGACCTGCTGCAGTTTCAGAGAGAGAGAAAATCACATTTTTCAGTTCAAGCAAAATCACAGAACCAGAAAGAATTAGCATGTAACTACTACTGTACATGATATCTATGAACACTAGCAGCAGAAAAAAAAAAAAAAAAAAAAAAAAAAAAAAAAAAAAAAAAAAAGAGAGAGAGAGAGAGAGAGAATCAACTCTCTTACTCTCACAAATAACTCTTTCATTACATTACATTACATACTTCATTACTGTTATAAATCATCTCTTGATACATTCTCACTATATTCCTTCTTCTCCCTTGACAATCAATTAGTGTACAGAGTATATAGTATATGAGGTCAGATAAAAGATGAGACCTTGAGAACAAGCTATATTTTGTTGTTTGATTGAATTTTCAGACTTTTTGTTTTATAATAATCTCTCTTGTTAGAAAACTCTTTTTCTGACTCTTATCTTCTTCTCTGTGACAGGTGTTGAGCTGAGGTATATATAATAATAATACATATCACACAATAGTTACTGTAAAAGAATCAAGAAACTGTATCACATAGAATAAAAGCACTTACAGTAAGAAGAGAGTTTGAACTCTTAAAAATAACATTCATACTTTCACATTCTTTTATTATGTGCTGAACTGATTATCCGCAATTCAACTTCAATATCATCTCGGAGCCGCGGGCAGGCACAGGCGAGCCACCATTATCATAAGAATGAGTGCTGAGCGCGGCTGGCTGGAGCGAGTCGTTCTTATGGTCTTTTTAACCTTAGGTGGTAAGAACCCGGACCTGGCAGCTTGCTTACAAGTTATGTATAACCATCATCATGACAGAGTCTGATAAGCTTTAGATTGTGAGATTTGATTTGATGAGTGCTGTTAATGAATAAAATAGATTTCTCTTCTGAGATATTTCTCATTCAGTGTTGAAAATAATAAATTATAGTAGGGTGATCAAGATCGATCTCATCTACATAAATATAAAATATAGTTAGTTATTCAACTGAGTAAAAGGGTTGAAGGAGTATTTACCAAATCAACCCTGAAAGTTCGTTGATTCTCTCAGCCAGCTCTGTACTACTTTTCTCCTGTGTAACTATTTCAAGTTCTCTTCATTGTGCCAGCTCTTTCAGCTCTCTCAGCTTGTATCTTGATTCAAACCTGATTGACTCCCACAGCATAAGATTCATTGTAACTAATAGGAATCAGGTATAGTTACACTTCCACAGCAAAAATCTGCTTGTAAACAGTCTTGCTCCACTTGATAATTTGCCTGTGTTTTTGAGAGAGTGAGTGAGTGAGTGAGAGATTCAGTGAGACCGGACTGAAGCAGGCTGAATGGTGAAGAGATTGAAAACTCTGTGGCTGTGAAGGCTGAGCCGTGTTGATGTTGAGTGTGGCCAACATCGCCGTCATGGACCAGTTCAGGATGATGATGATGATGATGATGATGCAGTTCAAGAAGAAGAAGAAGATGATGATGATGATGATGTAGTAGTTACTCAAACAGGCGCACTCTTTGTCTGCATTCGAATTCGTCTGCTCGTATCATAGAGAAGTTTGAATAGCATTTGTCAGTACGGTACGGGCGTAAAAATAAATAACTTAACGCCAGGTATTTTTTACCACGAGAGAATGCATGCCTAACTAGTTATATACGCAGCAACACAACACGTCATAGCTTCCTAGCTAATTAATTAGTTATCCCAGCTAGTTATGTAACTACGCAGTAACGCTGAATCGGAAATGTAATTTGTCAGATGGTTGAGATAGATACGATACACTGTGTGGTGTGGGGGGGACTCGGGGGAGTCGTTGGAGAAACTAACGCAGTAATAATCACTTAACATGAATCTTGCTTATCAATCAATCCTTTTCTCGCTCTGTAACTCGGCAAAAAATCAAAACTTGCTTCCCAGTAACTAATAATAATAATAATAAGAATATTTCTACGGGCGTAAAAGATCGATGCAACCTGGCCGCGTCTCAGTAGAGTAGTGAACTTTATCCCTTGAGCTTAAAATAAGTTCAAATGAGTTATACTTTTTGATTTCGCCGCTGAACTCGCCTCGGCAACGCCAGGAACCCACCAGCGCGGTTTGTATTTCTTTGCGCTAATAAGTTGAGCCCTTGCTTTAGCATTCATTGCTAAATCAAGACCCCTTTTCAAGATATGTATGTAATGTACAATGTACAATGTACAATGTACAGCGGCGGGAACAGCTTGTTGTGGAATGGTGCGCAAGTGCCCTTCTGTCTTGGCTTGGGGCTTTGGGGGAAAAAGAATATCGAGGGGGGTCATCTTGTCGAAGTCGTGTGTTAACGGCGGAGTTAACTAACGTGCTTCAACTAGTTACGCTTCTTGATCAATTTGTATCACTTCACTTATTAACTACGTAGGCTTAGTAGTTAGGGGGAATTATCCGGTTTGGCTTACAAAGTCACTTCTGAGAGGAGGGGGAAAGGAGGGGTTGAATATAAAGACTATAAATACTGAACGACGATGCTCCTGATTTCAATATTCAATAACAATATAACAAAAAGAAAGAACAAAAAACACAAGATACAATTTCCATTAGAAGCCGCCGCTTGTCTCCTTCTCTCACTCCATCCAACCAACATTTCGCAACCACAAATCTTCTGCAAGTTTGATTTGATTGAACCTCTGAATTCGAGCAAATCCGCCCTCTTGTCTAATTACTCCGTACTCTAATTACTAGCTCTTTAAAGCCGAAACAATGTCCGCCACAGTCCAAGGCGATTACGACCCCGCCTTCGCCCCCGTCAAGGAGCTTCTGCAGAAATTCATCGACTCAAACGAAGAACTCGGTGCATCCATCGCAGTCAACATCGACGGGCGCGATGTCGTAGATATCTGGGGTGGTCACCGCGACGAAGCCCGCACGACGCCCTGGACCAGCGACACCATCACAAACGTCTGGTCGACAACCAAGACCATCACAAATCTTGCCGCCCTGGTCCTCGTCGACCGCGGCCAGCTCGACCTCTTTGCCAAAGTAGCCACCTACTGGCCCGAGTTCGCCGCCAATGGGAAACAGGACATCGAAGTCCGTCACCTGCTCGCGCACACCTCCGGCGTGTCCGGCTGGGAAGTACCATTCGAGCTATCAGACATGTACGACGTGAAGAGCGCGACGGAGAAATTGGCGACCCAGAAGCCCTGGTGGGAGCCAGGGACGGCATCCGGCTACCACGTGCAGAACCAGGGCCATCTGGTGGGCGAACTGGTGCGCCGGGTAACGGGGAAATCGCTCAAGCAGTTCGTCGCTGAAGAAATCGCAGGCCCGCTGGGCGCCGATTTCCAAATCGGCGCCAAGGAAAGCGACTGGGGACGCATCGCTGACGTCGTGCCCCCGCCTCCTCTCAACATGGACTTCTCCGCGCTTCCTGCCGACAGCCCGGCCGTCAAGTCATTCATCGGCCCAATATCCAAAGCCGAGGCAGCAAACACCCCGGAGTGGAGGAGGACGGAACTCGGCGGCCTCAACGGCCACTCGAACGCGAAGGGAGTCGCTCGCATGCTCTCTGCCATATCTCTCGGGGGTGGCGAGATTAACGGTGTGCGACTCCTGTCGCGAAAAACGATCGATTTGATCTTCCAGGAGCAGGCCAACGGCACTGACCTTGTACTCGGCATCCCGATCCGCTGGGGGATCGGGTTCGCGCTACCACTGGAGGGGACGGGAGTGTCTATGCCCGAGGATGCGGCAAAGGTCTGCTTTTGGGGGGGCTGGGGTGGGTCGATTGCCATCATGGACGTCCAGCGTCGGATGACGATCACGTACATGATGAATAAAATGGGGCCCGGTGTCATGGGCTCAGGACGTAGCGAGGCCTATCTCAAGGCGATATACGCTGCCCTTGCATCTCTGTGAATGAAATGTTTTCTTTGAGGGATTTCAAACGACTCTCTCTGTATGATTGATAGGGATGTATGTGGATATTCATGTGTATTTAATGTGAGGTAGTGATAAAGTTCGAGTACGATCATTTGTTGAAGAAGCGAATTAATGAATGACATATATAGTTATCATCCATGTTAACAACAAATTGCCCCTTGCCAATCGAGGATTTAGCGGTGTAAGGATACAGACAGATAAAATCACCAACATGCAATTGTACCCTCATTACATCTAGAATGGTGTGTTTTTTTTTTCTTTTCAGCGGGGCCGTAGAGAGCAGTTTGCAGATCAGTGTGTCTGTCTGATAAGAGTCTACCAGCTTAATTTCCAACCAGCAGTCTCCGGCAAATACATTCCACCCATGTAATGTACATACATACCATGATATACCTGTATGTCGCGACGGAGGCCAGCTCAAATTCTTTGCTGCTACGCGCGCGCCGTAGCTCCAATGCTGGCATCTTGCAGAGGCGCCTGTGTAATCTCACAAATGGTCCTCAGGCCATTCATTCTTCAGCTGGTCGATATCGTTGAAGCGGTGTTTGAGGCAACGCGGCAAGCTTGAAGTCTCGTTCGCCATCTGCATCTGCATCTGCATCTGCATCCGTAACCCTATCCGCATCGGCGGCAGTGTCTGACGTAGCCGCGTCATCCCGCAGCCGCTACAGATGAGCAAATAAAGTTCTTCAGCTGCTGATGCGGCTCATTGTAGCTGGTTGTGAAGTGGGTCAGGATCCCGAATGTCTCTTTTCTTTTTCTTTTTCTCGGAGTTAAAAGAACAGGTCCCTATGTGTATTACCTTACCACGGATACAACTCCGGCACAGATAGTCATCAAAGTACTTTCGTGGAATGTGCCAGGTTAGCAGGTTGAGTGAGAAGAGGAAGAGGTTAAGCAAGCAGCTTTCCCGCACAGACCGACTGAGCCATGATGTAAGTTATTTAAGTTAGTGAGTTGCTGAGGGGCGGTGATATAGTAAATCTGCACCTGCGGCCAAGGTGCGGAGTCTACAAAATTTTTTCCTTTCTTCTCGTATAGGTGGGCCTAGGCAATAAAGAGAAAGACAGTATGTGTACCCGCGCTTGCTGCTCTTTCTTTTACCTTTCCTGCTCTAGTGTGATAAGGAACCTCAATAAATGGGCAGATACACAGCCTAGCCTACTACGTGGTTAACTACGAACCAATCGACTGAATGTGGATGGAATGTAAAATGAGAAAGGAAGCTTTTTATAGTGTTCGATGACGCTAATGAGTAATGAACAAAACAGGTGTATGCATTCTGATGATAACTAGTAGTCTTTATTTGCGAGAATGAAAGCCCCAAAACAATTTCATTTGTTTAACAAAGTGAAAACATCAGTGCTTATTTCCAAATTTGAGAGCAGACATGCATGTATACAAACGTACGTACAAGCATACAAACATACATGCATACATACATACGTACGTGAAGAAAATGCTGCTCAACATCTGAAATAAACATCGCAGAGATGGGGAAAAAAGAGACACGATTCAGTTTTCAACTTCACATGCAGACACGAGGTAGTAAGGGAGGAGAACGTTGAAAGTTCAAACACCTGAGAATTACAGAGGCAGAGCAAAAAAAGAACAGTAGTTATAATGGGGGTATTTCGCAGTGGAATCGAATAGACAAGACATTAAAAAAAAGAAAAAGAAAAAAGTGTAAAAGGTGTGAACCGAGATCACTTCTTTCTTGGCATGACTAGGGGCCCCTGGCAACGACTATTCATCATTTGAGACATTGTGGTTAGCAACACTGTCTGGTCCTCAAAATCTGATGAAGGAAAAATGAGGGAAAGAAGAAGAAGAGTGGGGATTTAAACCACATACCAGTTCGGACACGTAATAGGTAGCCGGGATTTGACGCAGGAGATGATCCACTCGTCCATGCATTCTGCATGAAAATTTTGCCCACAGCGTTGTGCGCAGTGGGTAAGATAGTCGGGGTCCTTTACCTGCTGATCCCGCGATCGAACAGGGTTGTGGTATTGCCAGTACTTCTTTAAACTCTTGTTGCGGAGACGCTGCATGCAGATTTGACAGTCGCCCACGATTGGCATGCGGGCCCGCCTATCGCTAAATCTTCCTAGTGTGTTGAAATGTGGCAAGAGCAGATTATTTAGGTAGCGGCAGAGATAGAAGGCCGGTATATCAGATCTGGGCTTATGCTTCTTAGGCTTAGGCTTGGGCTCAGGCTCAGGCTCTGCCCTAGGTTCAGGTTCAGGCTCAAGCTCAGGCTCAGGCTCAGGTTCAGATTCAGACTCAGGCTCAGGATCGGGATCAGGATCAGGCTCAAGCTCAGGCTCAGGTTCAGGATCAGGTTCGCCGAAACTTATATGTCCAGCTTTGCAGGCCTCGGCGGAAAGGTGCCCATCGGCCATCAAGCGCTTGCCAATGGAATTTAACATCTCCATGATGGGCTCGAGGCTGGTCTTCGTGCACGGCTGGCACATGCCAGGTTCCACGAATTGATAGTGCATCGTCTTCAGCATCCAGTCCACGGCCAAGCGGCTGCTCAGTTTCTGTTGGTGGTGCTGGCAGAGCAGGTAGCTTGGGATTCGCTCATAGAGCTCCATGAGTCGTTTGAGGTCGGTACCTTCTTTCTGGAAGGCTCGACTGGCGCTTCGGAGAAGTAGGTTTGCCATGTGTCGCTGCTGTCGGCTGATTTCGCCTCTGCACTGGCGGCCAGTGGAGGCGGCTTTGGCATAGCAGGCGCAGTCCTTAGACCGCAGGGGGACACCCAAGAGTTCGCAGAGTTCGACTTCCGGGGCAGATGGTGCTGATTCCGCAGAGCGAGGATTGGTGACCTCGTTCTCCAGATTCTCTAGAATCTCACGGATTCTTTTGGAGAGGGACAGGAAATCCATCCTGTACGGAGAGGTTAGCACGATGGACGGGATGTATAGAACGTAAAGATTTAGAAGAATTTTGCTAAGGGGATTCATATACATTGCGAGTAAAGGGTAGTGCAGTTATACTGTAATGTAAAATGCCGATAGAGTGAGGTGCCACTAGGGGACTTATTTGACAAGTCCGTCTGCGATAACGGTGGCAACTGTCGGTGGGCTTTCAGAGGAGCTTTTCAGGATGTAAAACCTGGCGAGCTTAATAGAATAGCCTAACGGGCTCTCGTATAGACGCACATGCGAATGAGTCTCTTTGAAAGGCGAGCCGTAGACAAGATATCTCTCTCTTCTTGGAGCTTCACAGAGGTCCGAACGGGCGCTACAGGAAGCAGGTGAAGGTTGAAGTTTTCTTCCGGAGCGCACAAAACGGCGATAACGAGCTTGAACGAGTATCAGGCAGTCCCAAAAGGATAGTAACGATCAAGTCGAAGCGTCTGCAGCAGAGAACAGCTGGCAGGTAGCTATCGCTTTTGGAGCTTTGGAACTGGACGAGACGTTGTAGAAGGAGAGTCGGAGGGGAGCGAGGTGGAGGCGAGAGAGAGGTAGAAATAGCCGAGGGAATCCGTTGGGGAACACATGGCGGTGGTTATACTTTGCAAGAACGGCAAAATGATGTCTCTTTTTGAATTTTTGGCATCTACAGAGTACATAAATGGAAATTCTATAATCGATACGCCGCCGTTGTTGAGACGGAGTCCCATGGATGCGGCTAACGGTTAAACCTTCGTCGTTGGCGGATGCTTGGCGAAAGACAAAAATGACGTCAAGCCAGAGGTGGAGGTACCGCTACCTGGGGATACTTGGCCCAGAACATCGTTTTTGGCTGCCGGGAGATCTAACTATCTATTTATAACCCAATATCAAGAAGATCTATTAGTTATGTAGGAAGAGTACGTGATTTCTGGAGCAAAGAGGCGTCTTACTACCTGCTTACCGTCATGAGTATAGTATAGTGTGGTGGTGGGGGTAAGATCTAGCATCTAGCTCGAATAGCCTGCTGAAATCCGGGGTAAGCTAACTGGTATGTTATCCTCCAAGGTTCTATCCCAGTCAAACATCCATTGGCTGTACTTGGCCCTGTTAACAGCCCTGTACCGGTACTTGGCTCTACCTTAAGCCAACTTCCAGAGCAGCCAGGACAAGCACTGTGGCGGTATGTGTGTGTGGTATATGTGTGTAATGTATGTACATGTACCTACAAGCTTCCCCTCTTCGCCTCCCCCCCGGCAGATAAGAGCCGCTGCACCCGCTGCTGGTCGAACATCTTTTTCCATCCAGGCTCCTGTTCCCAGGCATATTACCACCGTATAAGTGCCGTTTGGAGGATATCATTGACCTGTACGTAGACTTATTCTCCCCCTTCATTTTCATACTTACACTTTAGAGCTATCAGAGCTCCAATCTTCCCATCCCAAACCCGTCTACTGCAGAGCAACTATTGTACTCTGCAACACTGTGTTAACAGAAGGGTCATCGCAGAAAATTGAAACGAACAAGAGAGACACTGAGAACGAAATGAGTAGCCACTCCAGCGACCGCCCCAGCGACCGTCCAGATCATCCTCCCGTTTGGGTTCGTGGTGGGCCTCCATATTATTATACACCTACAAGACCAAATATCGTCTCGTCCCCTAGTGAAAATCTGCGCCGGGTACGTCTTGAAGAAATTACTGCCTTCTCCAGCAACATTCACCACACCCGATTACAAAAGAAAAGTAGAAAATAAAAGAGCCATCATCATCCCACTAACCTTAATATACGCAGGCCTCCACAACCTCCTCCATTTCTTCCTCCCGCGAGAGCACATCGGGAGGAACCCTCTCTCCACCCCCAAGCCCCACAGCCTCCGCTTCCCAGCCCTCCGGAATCTCGCACCACTTCACCTTCCCCTCCTTCAGCACTAGCCCACTCTCACAGCAGACATTCCCACCCCAGCGCCCGCCCTATATGGCCCATCAGCCGCCCGTTCACAGCACCCCTGCCACCGCGGGACTGGGCTCCGGCTCCGGCTCCGGCTCCAGCGCGGAAGCCGAAGCCGAAAACCCCCAACGCCCTAGCTCGTTCCGAAGAAGTAACTCCATCAGCGGGACGAACCTCTTCTCCAACCTCGCGTCGCAGAAGCGGAATACGGCGGATACCAGCTTTGCATTGCGCAGGGAGCAGTGGCATGAACAGAATGTCGGTGCAGGGCCGGACAGGAAGAGGTTCTTTGCGAGTTGGTGGGATAAGTGAGTTTTGGACCCCTTTCCCATTGCTATGTTCATGCTTTTGCTGGGACTGGAGAGTTGCAGTTTGCTGATGTTGGCCTTTTTTTTCTTTCCCGTATAGCTATGTGAGAGGTATCTCAAATCAAAAGCGATAGGTTTTTGATTCGTGATTATGCATCGTGCATGTTTCCGGGGAAGAGAAGTGAAACAGCAAATGCAGCCATGAGAACAGTAGTGAAGGAGAGTAAGGCAAGTAACAGCCAGTGAAGACAGCAGAAAATATGAAAAAAAAAAAAAAAAGTTGTTTGGGGGCGTATATGAGTGAATGAATTGTGGCCGAGTTTTCTTATTTTCATTTCTTTCCTTTCCTCCTTTTTGATGATCTCTTTGGAAAATTTCTACAACTTCCGACAAACTCCTACTGTCAGACACGTTGCTGCGCGGAAATGTTCATTTATCCGCAACGGGGTTTTAAAATCCGAACCTTTTGAAGATTGTATGAAGTAGAAAAAGGAGAGAGATTAGCATGTAGGGAGCAATGAATGTTGGCTGAAACCAGGTTGCCAGGCGATGCAGTTAGGTCGATGAGGTGTGCCAGACTGATCTGTGGATATATTATGATACAGGAGGGAATACGCAATTATTTTCCCTGTTTCTTCTTTGGTGGTTTGCGGACTGGCAATGTCTGTATGTCTGTATGTATTTAATTCAATATGAACCCTTTTGAACGAGACTTTTTTTTGGATATTTCTCAAAAGAGATCTCCTCAAGTGTGGGTGATGTTTTCGAAGGGCTCCTTGGGGATTAAGAGACGTATGTAGAGGGGAATGTTGACCATTTGATTTGTTTTGGGCACCTATGATGTTGAAGAACTGGAGATGTGCTGAGCAAAGGAGGAAGAAAGAGGAATTTGCTGAAGTTTCGCCTAGAAGAAACAAGAGTGGGACTTTCGCTGTCAGTCTTTTTCCAAACCTGTGCGTTGGGGATCTGACTAGAGTAGACTACTCTCCATGTGGGATCAGATGGATATCTCCTTCCATGCCACTCGCGAAAAGGTATATGCTCGGATGCGTAGTTAACGAAACGCTATCTCCTGACCATATAACCGCGGACTTTTTTTTTTTTGAAAGCCGCACCGACAAACTAGTTACGGGAAGATCGATGATTGTTGAACCTACCTGCATAGCGATGCTCAATGCTACTTCAACGCCCCCCTTGCTTGTGGGACGGACTGTCTACGAGGCCCATGGCTGGACAACCCACCTGAGTGTGTACTTGATCGCGAGATGATATGACATACGCAAACCTCCTCCTCTTCAAGCACAAATATGCCTCTCCGGCATCCAATAGATGAAAAGGCACGGGATGCGTCGTGTCGCAGTTCGATGAGACATACACACACTCTCTCTCTTTCTCCCTCACTCTCACCCTAGCCCTGATAGCCATCGTATCAAGTGCTAAGTGTTCAAGTGTCTGCGTGTCCCAACCCACCCCTCAGAGCTCACCTCGCCTCGGCCCTCCTCACATGCCCTCATCTCGTCCCGGCTCTCCTTCCATGGCACAGAGTATATCTATCCGGGCATGGGTTTATTCCCAGCCTAGATAAACAGAGCTCCACCCATGTAGAAAGGAGCGAAGGAGCGAGATGAGAGTGATGGTCGGTGGTGTCGGTAAGGTAAGGGAAATGATAAACATGGAAGCACCGGACTCTATCCTCGTCTTCCTTCCATATATATGCCTTAGCTTCTTCCAAGCCATCGGCCAGGGGGCCAAGGAACAAGAGGATAGAGTCCAGTGTCCAATGTTTTCAAATCTCAGGCCGCCTGAGGGTCGACTCGACGCACCTCAGAAAGTAAAAAAAAAGAAAAGGAAAAGAATCGCCTCCCGCCCGCACCGATGGATATCAGTGGAACTTTTTGTTGGTTTTTTCTCTCTTTCGTTTCAAAGCAATGGTTAAGCGGAACGACACCATTTGTGAAGCCTCCATTGTGGAATCTTTGGAAAACAAGCAAAAGAAAATAGCGATCTTTCAACTTTCCCTTCTTTTTTTTTTTTCGTGTCAGGAATAAAACATTCGTGTCATTGATTTGTGTATAGCGGAAAAGAGGGGGAGGGGGAGAGAACCGAAATGAGGATAGCGAAGATGGGGAATCTAGTAACCCGAGCCCAAACCTCCAGAATGGTACAACCGCGTTCAGGAAAGGCTCGTGTTGGACACCGAAGAATTCGGGGGTTGTTGCGTACCAGATTCCCTCTCGGCTTTCTCTTTCGGTTTCCTCTTTTCGTTTCCAGTTACATCATTAAACGGGAAAAAACAAAGAAAAAGAGGGGAAAAAAAAGGAAGACGAGAACATGCCCAAACCTGACGCTGGATTAATGAAAAAAGAAAGAGAAAAAGGATGAAAAATTAAACCCCCCCAGCTCCCGTTTTTTACTCTTTTCCCCATTGAAAAACAGTGACGCAAATCAGCTCAACACGCATTTACCGAATAATTCCCTCGAAGCGAGTCTTGAACCATTTCATCGTCTCGGTCTGGTTGATCCTGTGGGGGGCGCCGATCCGGGACTTGCATCGTCTGCGCTTAGCGACGCGTTCACCAGGTCGGGTCCTATTAAATAGAGGTCAATAATGCGATTGGCCTATCATCATTTCTTCCACAAATCATGTAACGAAAGCAAACACATTGAGAGACTGATGGAGATATGAAAAAACCAAAAGTCCTTCACCTCAATCTCAATGCGGGAGAAATCTGCATTCAAGGCAATCAAGGCAAAAAAAAAAAAAAAAAAAAAAAAAAAAAAAAAAACAAGCGGAAAAACTCACATGCAGCAGTAGAAGTCCATTCCGTAGATACCAATACCGGGGTCATACTTGATGCCCAGATCGATGTGTTCGCTGATACCGAAGCCGAAGTTGCCAGTCTCGGAGAAGTTCTTCTTTCTCAGTTCGTATTCCTTGACCTTGAGGCCACGCTCGAGGATCTCCTCAGCCTTGGGTCCACGGACGGTAACGTGCACGGAGATCTTCTCGTTACGACGGATACCAAAGGTACGAACGGTGTATCTGGCCTTGCCTATAAAAATTTTCCCGTCAGATCAGAGTTGCTATTTTCCCGGTTTCCCCTCTCTTATCGCTGCCATCCGCTGGCTATAATGGTGGGGTCTCCCGAATGTTCGATGGGTTTTCGTTGTATGTGCTTACTGTAGACAGGAGTTTGACCGCTCAGCTGTTCCAACACCTTAGCAGCACGGGTGAGTCTGTCACCGGATTCGCCAACGGAGATGTTGAGGACGAGTTTTTGGATGCGGAGTTCCCGCATGGGATTGCTGGTGTCTTTTCCCTCTGGCTGTCATCGCATCGAATTAGCAAGAGAAACGGATAAATTCATTGTCGCCCAAATCCGGCATGGAATGAGCATGATAGAAATTCAGTAATACACACCATGGCGACTCGTGTGCGGCTGGACAGTCGGTTGTTTGTCGTTGAAATGAATATCCTGAGGTTGGAAAAGGGCAATGTCGATGTTGTAAATTGTGTGGGTTGAGAACGCAAAAACCCTTAGTGTCTTGGCGTCTTGGCACTGACTAGCGAGCTAAACCTTCCAGACTGCATCCATCCCAGCACCAGAGGCGGGCGTGTATGATATTATAAATGCGCCAAAGTCAAGCTCCCTTGCCGACTTGTTTCTCTAGAGTCCATCAGTTGTTCTTATTGCAGAGAGCTTGCGGAAAGATAGCTGGGGTTGAATCATTTTGATATTCGCTGTGTTTTATTCTGTCCTGAGCTAGGTTGGAGAAAGTCGCACTCGTGCGCGCCGTGAAGCAGAATGTCCGCAAATAAACAAGGCAAGATGGTATGTTAACGTCCAGCAGATCGCGTGAATGGAGCGGGATTCATTGATTGATGGGAAATCAGTTGCTAACGTCATTCTAGCAAAACCTCGTACGTTGACCTAGCCGCGTCTACATCCGTAACTTGCAGCTATGATTGCGCTAACTTGGCAACCCAGATCAACTACCGGATGAGGGTAACGCTTACCGATGGACGTCAAATGACAGGCCAAATGCTGGCCTTCGATAAGGTAAGTTTCTTCTTTCTGCCTCATCCACATATATATGAATGACAAGTGCCGATCGCTGATATCCAATTCACGATGCCAGCACATGAATCTCGTCCTAGCAGATACAGAAGAATTCCGCCGTGTCAAGAGAAAACCAACCAAATCCACCCAAGCCCCCGGGTCCAGCACACCAACCCTTGTCGAAGCAGAAGAGAAACGAACCCTCGGGCTAACAATCGTGCGCGGAACACACGTCGTCTCGTGCTCTGTTGATGGACCCCCGCCCGCTGACCCCGCAGCCCGGTTAGGCACAACTGTGCCGGGTGTATCAGGAGCTGCTGCTGCGACCTTGGCTGCAGGACCTGGTATTAGCAGACCGGCTGGAAGGGGTTTGCCGGTTGGCCTGGGTGGACCAGCGGCTGGTGTTGGTGGACCACCACCACCCGGAGGATTTGGAGCGTTCCCCCCTGCCGGGTTCCCTGGGGCTCCTCCGCCCGGGTTCCCAGGACGAGGAGGACCACCTGGAGGCCCTCGTGAGTTAATTTCTCCATTGGCACTGTTGCAACCTTTTTTGACTTGAGGAATTCATAAACTAACGTGTGGCTATCGCCTGTAGCTGGCTTCGGACCGCCTCCTGGATTTGGTGGACCTGGTGTACCAGGTGGACCTCGTAAGTGATTTTCTCTCCCTTCTTTTGTTTTTAATTGTATATCTTGGCTATTATAGTTATTCATTTGCTAACTGGATATCTACGAGCAGCCGGCGGATTCCAACCTCCACCTGGTTTCCAGCCCCCTCCTGGCCAAGGTAGAGGGTACCCGCCCCCTGGGTTTGGAGGAAGATGAAATTTGAGGGAGCCAATTTGAGTTGTACGTTGATGGAGACGCACGCAAAGCAACGGACTACTTTTTAGAAGAACGTGACAGGAAAGGAACTTTTCTTTTTGTTACATGGATACACAAGCATCCAACATTTTGACACGGACAAGCTGCCGCCAAGCACCAAACTCTACACATGACGGAACATCTGCTGCTGTTATTCGGAAAGAGAAAACAATATAAAAATTCGACTTCTTATACAATGGCGTTTGGGCGCTAGGGTATTGGGGGAAAGTTGATCGGAAGTTGATCGGGGGGGTCTTCTCTCTCCGAGACCGAAGCTTTTTTTTTTATCTTTTTTAATTTTCTACAGCTTCGTTTTATTTTTGCCGGCCATACACCCAAGACAGATTAATTGTATTAGCTAGTCAAAGATCTAAAAAAATCAAAAAGAGAATATGGTCTTCCCTCCTTTTCTTCCCCTCGTTTCCTTCATCCTTTCTCTTTGTGCCTGATATCAAAATTGCGACGGAACAGGTAGGCACGTGATCAGGAACACACCGAATACGGCTAGCGCCCTCTGTCTCCCTCCAGATTTCGGAGCCAAAAAGTGATTGCATCTACATGATACAGAGCGAACAGAGCTGGAGGAGTCAGAGCATGAGAGACAAAAACGTCTCCAATTTTAAATACTTAGCCAACGAGAACGAAGCCCAGGAGCCTGGTCACAGCTGCTTCTTACTTACTTATTCTATTTATTTTTCTATAACCTCTAGTTACCTCTAGCTTGTGAACACTCCTACAACCCACTCCCTTCCTCCTATTCCTACTCTCCAAGCCAGACAAGATGGCCGCCGCAATCAAAGCTCTCAATGCAAAGATACGCTCGAACAAGGTGCTGGACTATGTATGTTCAACACGTAAGTTACTCAAAAAAGAAGGGAGCGGGGGAAGAGGAGATGTGAAGCAAGCAAGCAATCGAGACGGATGTCATTCCATTATTGATTTTCCTGTAATGATATATCTACATATATGGCAGCGGGAGAAGAACTTATGCTTTGGCAAACATTCTTGCTGACCAACTTCAATTATATGTGAAATACGAAAAACAGATTTCTGGGGCCCCGTCTCAAACTTCGGTATTCCCATCGCTGCCGTGATGGATACACAGAAAGATCCTGAAATGTACGTCGTCTTTCCGTTCGGATTCTGAATAACCACCACCCAACCTCTGTTCCCTCCGTATTCCACACCCCATTCAACGCAACATTTACACCCCGCCTCCGATCTTGACTTTGAAGCAAAGGACATCCAGCAACTAGTAACATTTCTGTGTTAACAATAATACAGCATCTCCGGCCAAATGACAGGCGCCCTGGTGATATACTCTGGAACATTCATGCGCTACGCCCTCGCCGTAACCCCTAAGAACTACCTGCTGTTCGCATGCCATTTCGTCAACTTTGGCGCGCAGCTGACGCAGGGATATCGGTATTTGAATTGGTGGAAGTATGTAATCAATCTCTCCTTGGATCTTCTTTCCCGTGTTTCCCCCCCTTTTCCCCCCTCTTTGGGGGCCAAGAGAAGAGGAGAATACACATCCCTTTATTATTATTGTCTTTACATCCGCCAGCCTTCGTATCCTTCTCAACACAGAGTTACACATGCTTGATACACACAACGCTAACGTCACATTTTAAAATCTAGCTGGGGTGGACGCGAAGCAGCCATTGCCGCAGGAAAGACATTCGACGAGCCAAAATCGGGCGGCGCTGCTGCTGCTGCGGAGAAGAAAAAGTAACAAGATCTCGCCCTACAATATGTGATACTGGTATTCCCTTTTACCTACCGCATTCTTCCTCTTCCTTTTTCCATTTTTGGTTGTTTTTTATCTTTGCCTTTCTTCTTGTTTTGAGTTAGTCTACTGTACACACCGGCCCCTTACACGGCCCTGTTATGTATTCTCTGTATGTATGACCGTGTTGTATTGGGGGACAAGTCTTCATATACAGTCCTGGATTGTTCCATATACCGATTCCTTTCTGTTTCAATTTGATTCTTATCCCTCTTGTTCTCTTTTCCTTTCTAATATCTGATCATTCGCACAATAGAGAGGATGCGAAGTCTTTCTTTTCTCTTTTGAAACTACGCCTTTCTCATGTAGATATAAGTTGGTGTATGGTACGTATGCACTATTTGTCTGATTTGGAGTTTGGCTATGTACAGTAGCACATGTATGTATGTACAAAAGTGATTGAGATAAAATAGAACAAGCAGCAAGCAGATGGAAGTTAAAAAGTCTATCCATATTCTGTTTCCATACACAGAATATCAAATGAGGATTTCTGCATATGCGTCAAAAACAAATTTTCGCCAGATAAATTCTAATACATTTAAAAGAGGGCAATTTAGAGGGAAAATTTGAAAAAAGTGAAAGGTGTAAAGCTTGCTTAATTGCTAGCTACATGGCAAGGCAGATAGGTCTGACAAAAAATGAATGAAATTCAGAGCTTGAAACGCTTCATTAGAAATAAACTCCGTGAAAATCGTGAAGTAGTATTTATATTTATATATATGCGAACGGATAGAAGAAATGGAGAAATAATATGTAAGAAATCGCGCTCTCGCTGCAAAAGTAATCTCAGGAACATTTCTGTGCAGCACCGCTACAACATAAGAAGTATTCATGTCCATTTGGGTGCTCTAGTTGAATAAATAAGGAGATAAATAAAACCCGGTGGATGGGAATGACGGTGTGGTGTGGGCAGTGGAAGTAGGTGGGATCCGTTGTCGAGAAGGGGTTTTCATTCGTCGGAGCGTTCTTCATCGAACTTCCGTCTTAGTATCACACGGAACAATGAGTAGGGCTTCCGGAAGATTCGCTGGCGGCCCAGTTTGAGACAGTCAGGGCGGTTGTGTAGACACATCCGATCACACCGAAGATTGCGAGGCCGATGTCCGCGTATTTTTGGCGTGCGGTTGTCGAAACGGCTTTGAGATGGAGCATAGGCTGTGATTTTGATATTTCATTAGCGGCACTTACAGGAGCATGGTGGGGAAAAACTTACAGGGTAGACGTAAACCAGCGGTACGCAGGCGAAGCTCCCGACAAGCGCAACGAATTTGTCCAAATCTGCTGCACCGCCCCACGCTACAAGAGCGCAAAAAACGACGAGCAGAGACCTAAATCCATTCTTCTTCCATTTGATGCCCGGGTTATATTTGCCGCTGCGGGTGAACAGCTCGTTCTCCAAGATTCGGATCGCGGGGAACAGCTGCAGCGGAGTGCTAAGAAGAATCGCCAAGGAATACAGGAATTGAATCCCATTTACAACCTTGCTATCCTGGGGAAGGTTGAGCAAGACGACGGTTTCAGTCTTGGAGCCGAAGGCGGCGTATCCAAGCATGCCCATCGAGAGGAATACGGTAGTTATCATGATCATTACGAGGGCTAGCACGCCAGGGAACTTGTGAGGTTTCTTCATGGACTCCTGGATGGGTATGATGAGGCCGATGCCTTCGTATGTGAAAATGGCGGTACCGATAAATAGCGTCCAGCTCATGGGGTTGAAATGCTTGATGTCAGAAACGCCGCCGTTGTCGATGATCGTCTCAATGCCGTAAGCATATAGGTATATGATGCCCATTAGGATAAAAACATCTGCAACGAGGGCTGTGAAGCCTAGCTTGCTGATGTCGCGGATGAAGGAGAGCGGCAAGAAAACAACCAATTGTATCAAGATCATGAACTTGATGTCGATCAAAGTTTTGCATTTGCTAACAGCCAGAACAAACGCTTGTAGATTTTG